GGACGTGTGTACATGCATGCCCAAACTCCCAGGAGAGGAGTGGAGGAAAAGGGAATGTGGCATGGCCATCCCCCCCGGGGAATGATTTCTCTCTCTCTCTCTCTCTCTCTCTCTCTCTCTCTCACACACACACACACACACACACACACACACATACACATACATAGCGCATGGACCCTATGGTTAAAACCTAAAAAAAAAGAAAAGCCAAATTGGAAAGGCATGCTACAAAGTACATGCAAGTAATCTTTGAAAGTGTCAAGGTTATAAAAGATAAGGAAAGACTGAGAACCTGTCACAGATTAGAAGATACCGAGACATCAGGACCATCAGTTGGTGTAATAGCTATGTTACTAGACTCCCATGTAGTCGACCATGGTTCAAGTCCCAGACCCGGTGGCTTAAACTCACGCCAGGCATGTGTGCGTGCATGCCCAAGATCCCTGAGAGGAACATGCAGAAGGAATTGTGGCATGGCCATCCCCCCTGGGGAGGTGACTTCTCGCTTTCTGTCTCTCTATCTCTCTCTGTCTTTCTGGTGAGCACACACTCTATAGTAAATACCTCTCCAAAAAAAAAAAAAAGATACTGAGACATGAAAATTATTTTGAATTTGGGATCCTGGATTGTATTCTCAAACAGAAGTACAATATAAGAAAAACTAATGAAATTTGAATGAAGTCTGTATTAGTTAATACTGTTACAGTACTGGTAACTTCCTGTTTTAGATCATTATACTCTGGTTATGCAATACAAGATACTAACATTAGAGGAAAGTAAATGAAAAGTATATGGGAACTCTGTATTATTTTTGTAACTTTTGTGTAAGAACAAATTTATCTATAAGGAAATAATTTTTAAAATAAGGTGATGGGGCCAGCAGGTGGCATGGTTAAGGTGCTGGCCTCCCACATGGCTGATTGAGGTTCAAGTCCTGGACACAGTGGCTTGAAACTCATTCTGGACACGTGTGTGTGTGTGTGTGTGTGTGTGTGTGTGTGTGTGCCCAAAATCGCAAAAGAAGAAATGGAGGAGAAGGGATTGTGGCATGGCCATCCCCTCTGAGAGATGATTTCTCACTTTCCCTCTCTCTGTCTCTCTGTGATAGCTAAATAAGCAATTATAAATTATCAGGAAATACTTCTTGTTTAGTTTAGAAGAGTTAAAAGATTAGCCTAGCTGCGGTGGTTCAAGCAGTAGAAGCTGCTGTGCAGTGTTGGAGGCTTTATAGAAGACTCTGCTTTTGTGTCCTGAGTCTGCCTGAACACACTGGGCATGTATTCAGGCAGACCTGCAATCCTGGCAATGCAGGACTAGGAAGGATCACAGTGTGAAGACCCTTATGAAGGTGCCTCTTCTTTCAGATGAGAGAGGGGGAGAGAGAGAGAGAAAGAATTGAAGATTGTATTATCCAAATGGTTTTAGACCTGTGGTTTTTTATTTAAATTTATTCATTTACATTCATTCACCATACATCATTACAGCATACAAATACAGCATACAAAATGAGATTTTCCATCCAGAATGCACTGTATATTGGCTCAATCAAGCACATCAACATATATGTTATCATCAACAAATAATTTTCCATCTCTTGTTTCCTGTATATTTTGCTTTTTTTACCATCCTTGATTCCCTATCTCTCACCTTCTGTCATCTCCCACTCTTCTGCCACACTGTCTCTGGTATCCTATGGTTGTTTTCTATGCCTTCTTCCCCCCACATTTTATTGATTAACTAAAGATCTTAATCTAAATGTTTTCAATAGCAAGTACAGCTGATATATACATATCCATGAACACAAGTCTGACTTCAGGCATAAACCTCAGTGAGTAGAATGAACATACTATGAAGTAGCACTTATCTGGGTCTATATAGCTACTGCAGTCATCAAATAGGTATTTTTAATGCATTTTTTTATTTCAAGAAAAACAGTTTTAGATTTTTTTCTGAAACATTTTTAATTAACTTACATTCATTCCCTAAGCATTATCACAGCATACAAAATGTGATTACCCATCCAGAATATACTGCATAGTGTAGTTGTCTTTCATTCCTTTTCCCCCCACATTTTATTGATCACACAATTTCTTAAATAGTCTAACTACTTTCAATAGCAAGTTTAGCTGGTAATTTCAAGAAAAGAAGTTTTAACTTTAATAAATCAAAGAAAAGCTAAGGAAATATGCTTAAAACTTAAAGCCAGGAAACAGATTAGTATTCTGTTCAAATAGTAGGTACATGAACCTATTGACAGGTCAAGACAGGACAAAAATCCTTAAAACCGAAAAAAGCCTAGAAGAAAATCAGCAGTGTTTTAGTCAAAAGTCAAAAAATGCTATTTCACCAGTTCAGTGTCATGTACTTAATCTATCTTCTGTTGTGATTTGATCTTCCCGATTAAATTCCAGGATATAATATTCAACTCCAGACTTGCCCCTATGATTAAGTTGGCCATTTTCTTAGATTTTTGAACTCATTATTTCTGTGTGTCTGCATTCAATTTTCCTGATGTAGCACTCCCTTGAGAACTTCTTGGATATCTATTCTGGTGCTGGTAAATTCTTTCCGGTTTTGTTTATCTGAGAATGTTCTTGTCTTTTCTTCCCATATGAAGGATAATCTTGCGAGGTACAGAATTCTTGGTTGAAATTACTTTTCCCTTAACACTTTGAATATATTTTCCCATTCTTTCTTTGCATGCATTGTCTGATGAGAGGTCTGCTGTTAGTCTGATGGGATATTTGTAGGTAACTTGCCATTTCTCTCTTGCCAATCTTAGTATCTTGCCTTTGTCTGTGGTTTTGGTCAATCTGGCTATACTGTGTCTTGGAGACGATCTTCCTGGGTTGATTCTATTTAGGGTTCTTTGCATTTCTTGGGACTGGATCTTTGAGTGCCTCTCTACTTTTGGAAACTTTTCTTGCAGGATTTCATGGAATAGATTATCAATGCCTTTATGAGTCTCTTTGCCTTCTGGGATATCAATTATCCCAGAAGGATACTTGGACGTTTGATGGTATCTAGTATTTCTTGTATATTATTCTCATTTTGGGGGGCAATTTTATTAGTCTTCATGGTGGATTTTTCTAGACCAGCAATTTTCTCTTCTATGTATGAGATTCTATTTTCCGTATGATCTAGTCTGCTTTTCATACTTTCAAGGGAGATTTTGACTATCTGTATTATAGCCTTCATCTCTAACCAGGCCCCTTTGATTTTTTTTTAAAGTATGTAATTCCTCTTTTAGATTTTGCAAGAATTTCCTCCCCTCCTGGAACTCGTCATCTCCTTTCTCCTTTCTCTTCTGCAGTTCATCATCTCTCTTCTCTTCCATCTCTGTTAGCTTTGCCATTATGAATATTCTAAATTCTTTATAAGACATTTCCATGATTTCCATTGAACTGTGTGTGGATGAAGAGGAGTTATTCTTTTCCCTTGGAGGAGAGGTATTTTCTTGCTTCCCCACATTTCTTGTGGCCCTGCGGTGATTTCTAGTCATCTGATGGATGGTGTGTTTCTTCCTAAATTTGAAGTTTAATCTGGGCATTCAGGAGTGTGCAGAAAGAGGTGATCTGGAATCTCTTTGCCATTCTGTTTTGACCCCTTTGCACAGCAGATTCAGTAGATATTGAGGAATGTGTTAACCCTAACAGTATTTGGATGTTTGGCTATAGTTTCCTTAGATCCATCTAGAAACACAGTAAATGGAGATTGAGGAGCAGATAGATGAGATAAAAGAAAAAGAAACAGAGAACGAAAAAACAGAAACAACAACAACAAAAAAAAAAAAACAGGAAAAAAGGAAGGAAAAAACAAAGAACTAAAAATATTATTTTTTAAAGCAAAAAATAGAAAACCACACAGCATGCTTGCACACCACGCAAAATCACTAGTTCTCAGGAGCCATGATGAATCTGCTTTTGAAGGCCTGCGCCTTGCCTCTCCTGGGTGGGAGTGGGAGAGGGGATTATTAACAAGATAAAGGAGGGCTGAAAGGGGATTATTAACAAGATAAAGGAGGCCTGAAAGCCAAATTTTTTTTAAAAATTTAAAAAGGAAAAATTACCAAAAAAATCAGAAGACAGAGACAGAGGCAGAGACAGAGGAGCTTCCTGCCACTTGAGTTTGTGGGCTGGAAGCTGAATTATCAGTAGAAAATCTTCATTTTTCTTTTTTCCCTGAAATCACTAGTTCTCAGGAGCCATCTAGACCTGTATTGTTGATTTAAATTTACAGAGCCCAAGAAAATACCTCAGGAAGAATTCCTTTTCCCTTTATTAAGTACAGAGTAAGTTGGTTTCCCTATTAGTACTTCTAACTTTTCCAAATATTGGGTCATCGGAAAAGTCATGATGCATTTTTTTTGGTGATATTTTCACTATAGGGCGCATGTGCTCACCAGACAGAGAGAGAGAGACATAGAGACAGAAAGTGAGAAATCACCCCCCCGGGGGGATGGTCACGCCGCAGTCCCTCCTCCTCTCAGGATCTTGGGCACACACGCACAAGCTCCCAGCGTGAGTTTTAAGCCACTGGGTCCGGGATGCGAACCACAGTCAACTACGTGGGAGTCCAACGACATAACCATTACGCTAACTGCTGGTTCCCATGATGCATTTTTACATAGAAAAATATGTTATAACTTTTCCACTGACTCAATAGAATTTAACCTGGCCATTTAGGAAGTTAGTGGTTCTTCTCTTTTTGAAAGTGGTGAGTAGGTGGAGATGGTCTTTTTAATAGAAATTAAATGTTAGGGGCCAGCAGATGGCATGGTGGTTAAGGGTACTGGACTCCCACAAGGCTGACCATGGTTCAAGTCCCAGACCTGGCGGTTTGCTTTCTCATTTTCGCTCTCTCTCTCGCCCTGTCCCTCTCTGGTCAAATTAAAGTAGATAAATAAATAAAGTTGGATAAAATAATTCTTTAAAAAAGAAGAAATTAATTGTTATTAGTTTCATAGTGATCTTCTCAAAGTATATACAATATCTTCCCAGGTGTTCCGGAAGGACCTCATCAGTGCCATGAAACTTCCAGATTCTCACCACATTAATCCTGACAGTTATTACCTCTTTGCGGATACATGGAAGGAAGAATGGGAAAAGGGAGTCCAGGTACCAGTCAGTCCAGACACTGTTCCAGAGCCTTCTCTCAGGTATTTGCATGCTTATACCCTTGGCTTAGGTAATGAATGCCCTTATCTGTGTGCTACTTGAGAAGAAACTAAGAATGGCTAATTATACATTTATAATACAAGATCACATACCATGTTTATCAGTTTATTTAGTCCAGTTCCCTATTATGCCAGACTACGATAGGTCAATAAAGTCAAGCTCATTCTTTTAGGGATATACTATGTGCCCATTCATAGGATGACACTGAAGTCCAATCTGAAATTATGATGATATTTTAGACATTTGGATTTCCAAGTCTGATTCAGTAATCAATAGCATTTATTAGCCTTTGAAGAAAAATAAAGCATTAATTAATTATATAACACTCATGGGGAGTTGCTTCAATAAAGTATGGGCCTCGTAGTGATGGTATCTGTAATTAGAGGCCAGTACATAGAGAGTTTATAAAATGTATAAACAAAATGAAGGAAGATCACTAGAATAATTGGATTGACAATAAACACATGGCCTTTATTTGCAAAGACTTCAGAAGAAAATTGAAGTACAAGAGAGCTTTGGTTATGTGGAAAGAGGATGTGCATGTGTGTGTATGACCAAAATCCTGAATACAGTGAGAAATGGAGAAGGAACTGTGGCATAACCACTCCCATGTGGTTACTTTCTCACTTTTCCTTTATCTCTCTCTCTCACTTTCTCTCTTTCTCTCCTGAGTATATATACTGTCTGGAAATATTTTTAAAAAGAAGGTTACTTACCATTTTAAGTGCCATGAATTTTTCCCAAATCACTTCTATTTCCCTTAGTTCTTTGTCTATCATATAAAACTCTTAACTTCAATTGAACAGCAAAGCAGACTATTATATTTTTTTATCACATTAAATTCCTTAATGAAATCTTGAACTGGCTGATCATGGTAGTTAGAGTACATTATTTTCTATTTTATAAAATGTATCGGTAAGAATCATACTGTCCTATATAGCCTTTCCTAAGGAACAGTGATTCTCAAATTATAGGGTGTATCACCTGGAGAACTTGTTAAATAAAACAGATCTCTTAACCCTACCTCCAGAGCTTTTGATTCAGTAGAACTGAGGTGTGATACCTGAGAAATGGCTTTTCTAACAACTCTCCACATGATGCCGATGCTACTAGTCTGGGGATGATACTTTGAGAACAATTGTTACAGATTTTTTTTTTTTGGTTTACTATAGGACACTTGCACTCACCAGAGAGAGACAGGGTGAGAGGGATGAGGGAAAGTAAAAAATCACCCCCCAGGCGGGATGACCACACCGCAATCCCTTCTCCTCCATTCTCCTCTCAGGATTCTGGGATGCATACACACATGCCTAGCATGATTTTTCAAGCTGCCAAGGTCTGGAACTTGAACTGCAAAGTTGGTCATATGGGATCCAGTTGCCTTAACCTCCACACCGCCTGCTAGCCCCCATTATGGGATATTTTTGTTTTATTTCTTGAGTTAATTGGAATATCCATACTTTTGTCAACTTCTTTGTATTTCCCTTTTGGTTTTTAATATGAGTCAACAATATTGACAGCTCAGCTGATTTGAGATTGAAACTTTATTCTTAATTGTAACTATTTATTATAGCTACTCTTAGCTAGCATCATTTTTCAGGGACCAAACTATGTCTTATGATTTTTTACTTTCTGGATTTTGCATGCTACCTTTCAAATGAAATCTTTGTGATATGAAATGATATTGAAACATTAATGAATAGTTTTTATGTCTTTCATCAAATTTTTAAAGTCAAATGAGTTCAAGTAGCATTTTTATGTACTGTATTAATTTAGGCTTATTTATAAAGATCATCAGTGTGAAGTTACTCCCATATTGTCCTTTTACCTAGGTTTTCTAGTCTTAAAGTTTTTTGACGAGCTTTCATTTCTAGGAAAGCTCATCAAGATAGAAAACTTTTAAATAATATCTGCTTTCCTCTAGCCAAATACCATAGAAAAATACTTTGAAACACCCCAACTCTCTTCAGCAAGAATGGAGAGCCTGGACTTCTGCTTCAACCTATCAGTAATGATGTGCTCCATCTAGGATTGTGTCAGGAAACTTAGTGGAATATCAGGATTTTCAACTCTGCCAAGCAGTAAATGGGGATACTTCATTCCCCTTAGTGTTAAGTGAGAGCCATGCAGGGAACCAGTAGTAAGACATTCTTTTTGTTTTTAAAGAGGTTTTTGCCTTAGGGCATGTGCACTTGCTGTAGAGGGAGAGAGACAGTGAGAGGCAAAGTGAGAAATCACTCCCAAGGGGTTATGGCCACACCGCTTGCTGTCCCTTCTCCTCCCAGGATCTTGGACAAGCACATACATGTGCCCAACATGATTTTTAAGCCACTGGGTTCAGAACTCAAACTGCATTTAGCCATGTGGGAATCCAGCGACGTAACTGCTACACCATCTGCTGGCCTAGTAGGGCACTCTTAGCAATACCAGTGAGGATAGGTACCAGGAGAAGCCTACTGAGGAGCCAGAACTCCCTGCCCCATTCAGCAGTAATAGGAAGTCCCTGCCCTCAGGATACCAAATAGTAAATTAGGCCAAATAGTGAACTAAGACTTCTACAATACAGTCATCTGACAGTACCAAGGCCATGTTCCTCAGCCCCACCTCAATCTCCAGCCAGAGTAGTATCATAGGAAGCTAGCCAGAACCAAAGCTTTAAAGAAGATCCAGAGTCTCCTAACATAATGTCCAGCCTTTAAGAAAAAAAAAAAGTAATGGGACCAGCAGACGGCGTATTGGCTATGTTGCTTGATTCCCATGTAGTCCATTGCGGTTCAAATCCCGGATCTGGTGGCTTAAACTCATGCTGGGTGTGTGTGCATGCATGCTCAAGATCCTGAGAGGAGAATGGAAAAGGGATTGCAGTGTGGCCATCCCCCACCCCCCGCCCGGGGGGTGATTTCTCGCTTTCCGTTTCTCTCTCTCTCTCTGTCTTTCTGGCGAGCGCATGTGCCCTGTAGCAGAAACTTCTCAGGAAAAAAAAAGTCATATCAAGAATCAGGAAGATCTTGGGACCAGCAGTTAGCATAATGGCTATGTCGCTGAACTCTCATGTAGCCAACCAAGGTTTGAGTCCCGGACCTGGTGGCTTAAACTCATGCTGGGCACGTGTGCTTATGTGCCTAAGATCCCGAGAGGAAAATGGAGGAGAAGGGATTGCGGCATGGCCATCCCCCCTGGGGGGTGATTTCTCGCTTTCTATCTCTCTGTCTCTCTCTCTGTCTTTCTGGCAAGCACATGCGCCCTATAGCAAAAACCTCTCCAAAGGGGGAAAAAAAAAAGAATCAGGAAGATCTCAACTTGATCAAGAGATGCCCACATCAGGATGACATTATGTAACTAGAACATATTCATCACCTTAGAAAGAAATCCCATATTTGTTAGAAGTTAGTACTCATTTTCCCCTTCCCCCCACCCGACAACCACTGTATTAGTTTGTTAGTGTCTAGCACAGTATTACTTCTACCATGTTTTATTAGAGCAGTTACAGATTGAAGAGAAGGGAAATTTCTGTATAGAAGGAATGCAAGATTTGTGACCATCTTCAATCCATTTCTTGATAGAAGGAATTCAAAAGGATTTGTGACCTTCTTCAATTCACTACAGTAGTAATACCTTCTTTTTAAGATTTTTGTCATCAGGTGAATGTGCTCGTGAGAGAGACAGAGGGAGACAGAGGGAAAGTGAGAAATCACCCCCCCATGGGAGATGGCCACCCAGCAATCCCTTCTCCATTCTTCTCCTGGAATTTGTATGCATATGTACCCAGCATGAGTTTCAAAGTCCAGGACTCAAAACGTGGTTGGCCATGTGGAAGTCCAGCACCTTTAACCACCATGCCACCTGCTGGTCCCAGTAATACTTTTAATGTTTACATTTGAGTTACTTGTCTTACTGCCTATTATGATATTATGAAATATTTATTTGGTTTTCACTCCAGTTTCCTGGTATATAGCTCCTAAAATCCTTGGTATCTCTAGAATGCTAAATGTCTTTTTGTATGCTAATGGGGTTGACTAGTGACTGGACATCCTTAGACAACTTGAGGGTGGAGGTTGGTCACAGGAAAGACCAAGGCAGGATTAGAGGGCTGAGACTTTTCAGCCCCACCTGGCCCAACCTCCAGGGAAGGAAGCAAGGCTGAAGGTTGAATTGATAACCAATGACCAGTGATTTAATCAGTCATGCCTACATAGTGATGCCTCCATAAAAGCTTAAAAGAACAACATTCAGAGAGCTTCCAGATAACTGAACATGTGGAGACTCTTGGAGGGTGTGGAGCCCAAAAAGGACATGGAAATGCTAAGTTCCTTCCCATGTACCTTGCCATAGTCATCTCTTCATCTTTATCCTTTGTAATATACTTCATAATAAACTGCAAAATGTAAATGTTTCTCTGAGTTCTGTGAGCTACACTAACAAATTAGTCAAACTCAGGAAGGGGAAAGGTTGATTGGATCCTAGATTTATAGTCCATTGGTCAGAAGCAAAGATAAAACAACCTGGGGCTTGCGCTTGGCATCCAAACTGGTGGGAGTGTAGATAGGGAGTCTTAAGGACTGAGCCCTCAGCCTGTGGAATCTGACACTATCTCTAGATAGATAGTGTCAGAATTTAATTGAATTATAGTACACCCAGCTGATGTCTGCTACAAAAGTAATGGCTGGGACCAGCAGTTAGCGTAATGGCTATGTTGCTGGACTCCCACGTAGTCAACCGCGGTTCACATCCCAGACCCTATGGCTTAAAAAACTCACGCCGGGCACGTGTGCGTGCGTGCGTGCCCAAGATCCTGAGAGGAGAATGGAGGAGAAGGGATTGTGGCGTGGCCATCCCCCCTGGGGGATGATTTCTCACTTTCTGTCTTTCTGTGTCTCTCTGTCTGGCGAGCACATGTGCCCTATGGCTAAAGCCTCTCAAAAAAAAAAAAAAAAGTAATGGCTTACTTCTTGTATGGGTAAAAAACCCCACATACTTGGTC